ATTGTATGTAATATAAATTTCTACCATGTTTATAAATGAAACACGGTAACAAAAAAGAAGAGCACCCTTAAAAACATTTCGTACTTTTCGTGAAATTTAGAAAAATGGCAAAAACTGTTGATTTTCTTGTTTCTTGAATAACCCTTCAATAAACACGTTTCGAAAAGAAAATTTTATTACCAATCGATAGGAAATTTTTTCTTCGTTCGAACAGTATGTAGTTTATTTTTAATACACATTCGTAAATGAAATGAGATAAGATAGGAAGGAAAATACTCGCGCAACAAATTTGCAATTTTTGTACAAACTTGTGAAAAATATCTTGGCAGACAACAATAATTCGATTTTTTTTGATACTCATTAAAAAGCTCTTGTAAGACAGCAGTTACTTAGATTTTTACAAACTTTTTAAGACCATCTTGGAGGTGTCAGTTAATTATGATTAACTACCATCTAGAAGATGTTATCGACAAGTTCATAAAAAAACTGCAAATTTGTTGCACGGGTATCTCCCTGTCTTTCTTGTCTCATTTCATTTACGAATGTGTATTAAAAATAAACTACATACTGTTCGAAAGAGGAGAAGATTTCCTATCAATTGGTAATAAAATTTTCTTTCCAGCACGTATTTATCGAAGAGATATAACGATCGACATTGTCTGCTAACTTTTTATAAAAAAAGTGCGCAATGTTTTTAAGGGTGACTTTCTTTTTTATTACGGTGTTTCATTTATAAACGTGGTAGAACTTGATGTTATATATAATTCGAAAGAGAAGAAAAAGCTCTATCTTTTGGTAAAAGAAGTTTTCTTTCAACACTTTTCTATCAAAGAAAAATAAGGATCAATATTTTGTGCCATTACTTTTGCATCGTATGTTAATTGACCATTCCACATTAGTCCATGAATAACAGACAGATGAGTGTGGATATTTGTGTGCTTGTGAGCGTTCGCTTCACCGCACTCACGCATGTATCAATTGTTTCATATGTGACTGTAAAGACGATTGCAAAAAATAACTAGATTGAATCTGAAAGAATTACAAAGAATTTTAATTGAATTTCATTCTAATCGTAGATTTTCGCTGCGATCAGAGCAATTTCGTTCACTCTCATGTTTTTCTTCTTTTTATTGAGGGTAATCTCGAAAAAAATATTCCTACGAGGAATATTTTACTATTTGAAATGAATTATCGACTGTTGAGTAACAGGAAGGTATGGATGAATTTGTGGGCGTACGGGTGAGTGTGGATGTAGATGTTTATTTCAGCTACAAATACCCCAAATTCGCATCCATACATATCCACATCCTGCGCTCACATCACTATCTGTATTATTATAACAATTCAGATAAAACTTATCTTTGGCTTTTCTGTCACAGTTATAAAACATTTCTATCTGAACTACAACTTATAATTGAAACTAAATTATTATTTCTGCTACAGGCAACCGCTGACTTGATTCGTTTTTCATTTGTTTTTGAAGTCACCTTTTGCAGTTGAAACTTCGTTTACATTAAAGCTTGAATTAGGCAGCACATGGTATAGAATCAAAACTAGAAAAAAGATAATTGATGACGATGCAGTTATTGATGAAAGAGAAGAACAAGGGAGTGGCATTTTATTGAATAAAAAGTAAATTTTGTTAGCTAGTACGTGGTCAGAGCAAATAGAGTAGAGACAGAATAGCGAAACAATATCAAGAAATGTATATGTAAGCACTATCTGCAGTTTCGGCTGGGATCCGAGATAATTTGGACAGTAGAGAATGTAAAAAATGATTCGCTTTCGAACTGAACCATAAGATTTTGGCCCCAAAATTGTCTCACATATGTATATGACACTATTTATCACCATGGTTAAGATAGTATTTGAAATCGTGTCTTGTGAAAACGAGAGAAAAGGCAAAAGATTCTGGATGAAGAGTCTCTATTGGTTCAAATAAGCCATTATTGTATCTGTATTGCCACCCACCAACGGCAGTATCGGAAATGCGACTTGAATTCCAAAAAGAAATCATACTAAAATGTCTATCGCTCTTTATTACTTTTAGTGATAAGAATAAGCATCTTCAAAAAGGTGTTCCCACATGTGGCTCCCTCTCAGGTGCTTTTCTTGCTATTGATTCGATAAATAATCAGAATCTAACTGTGTACTAAACGTGAATAGTCAATTTAGTCTTATTATTTTGTTTTGTGTACTTGCTCTTCAATACATAATCGTTTGAACCATTAAACAAAAAAAATGAGATTTTTCAAATAGAGAAACACGACAATAATAACATGCGACATCTCCTGAGAATTTAATGTTTTATTAAAGACTCGTTCCGTGAGTCACAGCTTATGGCAGAAACGTAACCAGTCAGGCTGGACCAGACCAATTGATATGATTGAACCGATCGATATTCACCAATTTTTACCAGTTGAAAAATATTCTGTAGATATGGCATTCTTTCCCGAGAAAATGTGTTTAGAACAAATTTGTGTGCTCTTATCAAAATAACCAATTAGTGTTATTTCAAAAATCATATATTACTTTCCTCTCTTCGTTCGCATTGTTTCATTTGTTTAGTCAAAGTATAATCGAAACTATATTACTTGAGTTACAGTCATCTCATACATGTTTTATCGAGGATCAAATTTAGGCTTGAATTTTCGTTCGGAGAGAAACATTAGATTTCCATTTAAAGATTAAGTGAGAAAATTCAAAATTTGATGTATAGCAATTAGTTGACAGGTAAACGATTCTACTCTTGCCGCTATATATAGAAATTTCACATTTGCATCTTTCAGAAACCACACAGATATAGACAACTACAATATGAGATTTTCTGGAAATTTGTAAAAAGCTGAGCGAAAAAAAGAGAATGGATGTTGTTTGAAGCCATTTCCATTAACTAAATAATAATACTCTAGAAACTTGCCACTTTTTGTCGACTTCTACCGAATTAACAGAGTGTTTTGAGCCGATTGAAGCGGATTGGTCTAAAACTTAGACCAATCGAACCGTACCGGTTCAAAAATTCTCGATAAGTTGCAACACTGGATTGGTTTCTGTTTTTGTTATTGGAAATCTTATAAGCGAACTGGTACTCAGGCTCATTGCAATATAAGTGTTTCCGAAAAGACGAGCGTAAAATTCTGTAGGTATTCAGAATAAAACTTTGTCCCTAATATCAGTTTTGTTACTTAAAAGAAACTTTGTGAACTAACCGGTTTTTATCCGTCTGGAAATATTTTTAGAGCGATCGCACCAGGTCGGTGTAATAGTTCTTGCCCGGTTACGACTCCAACCTACATTCAACAATTTCATGTTGTACCAATGAATGATATGTTAAAATTTTCCTACAGCTAAAGAAAGCCTATCGACATCAAATTTCCAACCGAGCTAATAAAGATTGGACAGCTGGTGAACGATGTTGATATTTGAATGGATCACACCGAAACGAACATTTTCCATTACCTTCGAGATTCGCCATCCATATTTGGCAATATTTTTGACAAAACAAGTGTTTATATTTGACACAGAAACATAGATTCTAGAAAATACATTCACAGACCAGGCAGAAGTATTCTTCTGGTACAGAATACATTGAAACAATACGATTTCAATTGATTTCTCACGCTTCATTTAATGCAATCGAACTAAAAGTTTGTGTTTCTTGGATACCGACCATTATTGTTACTGCGACGTATCGTTAAATGATCATCAATCTAATGATGACACTAAAAGATGAAGATAACAATACTTTCCCATTTTTACGAAATCTTTTTTGAGTTTTGTTGATTTTTTTTTCATCATGATTATGACATCGAATTTAACTTGAGTGTACAGCCTTTAAAAATATACATTTCATTCCTTTCTTTAGCTGTTATTTTTTTCATCGGCGATACAAATATATGTCATGAACTGAATCATTTTATGAAATTTACACTAAATGATCAATTATCATGCATATTTTATAGATACATTTGAATAAGAGTAAATACCAAACAGAGCAAATGCTATTTTCATGAAATTCGGTGAAATTGAGTAAAAGAAGTTGTAACCATGGCTTTTCTAAAAAATCGCTGCTTTTTCTCTACCTTGTCGGTAATCAATAAATTAATTATGTTGGAAACTTTGTAATAATACACAGTAAACTCCCCCTCCCCCCCAGAATAATAGGCCATGGCCTTCTATTATGGAAATTCGCCTCGCTTCTGCAAAGGTGGCCTTCTATTGTNTGAAACGGCAAGTTCCGTTAAAATAAATTTGTCTTTTTTGTGAGATTCAAAAAGAGGCACGTAATGTTAATCCCTATATCTTCTTGATAAACACATTTTGGAAGACATACTTTTCAATCAGTCGATAGAATATTTTCCCTCTTCGGAACAGTTGATTATTCATATTTGTCATACATTCATAAATAACATGGGGCTAGATCAAGGGGGAAACATCGTACTTTTGTACTTTAAGTACTTTGGCGTACTTCGAAGTACTTTGAAATACTTTGAAGTACTTTGAAATACTTTGAAGTACTTTGAAGTACTTTGAAGTACTTTGAAGTACTTTGAAGTACTTTGAAGTACTTTGAAATATTTTGAGGTACTTTGAAATACTTTGAGGTATTTTGAAGTACTTTGAACTATTCCATTTTCATAGTACCTTAATTTGCTTTACGTGTTTTGAAATATTTCATATATTTTATTTCGTTTGAAGTACTCTCAAATGTTTTATGATACTTGAATGTACGTAAAACTAAATTGGCAATTAGGCCTTCATTGTTTTCTGTAAACTTATTTAGTTTCAGAAAATAAATCTTGCACTAAATATGTTGCTTTATTAACAGTTTTCATACACTTCATTTTCATAATTAAAAAAAATACATTAAAATTAAATAAGCTTATTAGAAAAAGAAACGCATCATGGCTATTACAAGTACAAAATTCCATTTTATATTAAAATACAATTACAATTTTACAGAACAATGTACAAAAATATATTTTGAAAAGTTATTAAAACTAAAGTTTGTTTGTCTTTTTCGCCTTTTTTTGTGGTCTTTTTGAATCAATATCAATACTTCTTTTTCTAATACTTATAGGAGATGACTTTGATTCAGTAGAATGAGCCGAAAGAACTGTCATCATTGGAATATTTGTTGTATCAGGTGATGTTGTTATTGAATTGATGATCAGCTGTTGTTGACTTTGTGTCTGATCTTGATATTTCTTTTTTAATGCATTAATATGTGAACAATTGGTATCTTTCAAATGCTTGTAGTAATTCGATAGCTGAAATTTTTCAACATTCTTTCCTAAAATTAATTTAGAACCACATTTACATTGAATATTAACTTCCAAAACATTATTTATATTTGAAAACACAAAATTAAAATCAACATCTTCTTTTAATTCAAGTTCATTCAATTGAAAGCCTTCTTTGTTGTCAATGCACCATTGATGAATTAAGTTTAGTAAGTATTGTCGATGTTCATCTATGATTAATGAGGAACACGAACTTGTCAATAACGATTGTGATGATGTTGATATTGAAGAAGAAAGTGAAATTAATTGTGCAGGTATAGTATTGACCAATATCGTAAGTTGTTGTTTACCCTTTAGTTTTATCTTCTTTGTTTCTTCTTCAATCTTTTTGAACAACAATTCTTTTAAACATTTAAAGCCATTTTCGACACCAGGTTTGACTATCAATTGATTGTTTTTTAATTTAATGCATACTTCTTGGCTCAATTGTTCCAATACTTCATCATCAATATCGAGAGCGAAAATGCCGCATGGATTTTCAGTTAAAAGAAAACATGGTACACTACTAATGTGAAGATATGACAGCAGACGAGCGTGTAGTTTTCCGAGGTGCATTTCAACAAAATTATAAAAAACTTGATCCGTATATGATAAAACATCATCTGGTAATCGACTGGTATCGAGATAAAAACTTGTGAAAGACATAATAACAAAAAAATTGAAGATAGTGATGGTAATTTTGACAAAACAATTTGATGGAAACAAAAACGTTCAAAATTCCGCTAAAACTTCGTTAATTTGAAAAGAAAACGATTTGTTCAATAGCCTGACCAATAAAGAACACATTTTGTTAGTATACATGTACACGACTTATGGAAAATAACGACATCTAAATGATGAATATAATTCATACTATAAAGATGTATATTTGTGAAGAACAACTAACATATTCATTGGTTATTGTTTAAATTCGCGAAAAGAATAAATACAATAGAGGCAGTATTTTGCATGATAGTAGTTATTGTTTCTTATAAACCAAAGCTGTCATAGACCCAAACAAAAGCTCAAGTATGATACTAATTGAAATGTCACGTTGATATAACATCTTAAATATATTCTAATTATAATCTGAAATAAAAAAATAGCCGTACATAAAAAAACTGAAAAATTTCTGTACATCATTTACTTCACTCTACATCTTTTACAATTCATCAGTCCTTGAAATGATTCCAGGACCTCTGTTCCTTTTCACTTGTTTATGAACACATTGACAATGAAAACACACGACAAAAAAAACATGGAAAACGTTTGAAAAGTCTTCCTAGTGCATTGCAAAATTCATTATTCACAGAAAAAGACTGATTGAATCATAGCAAATGGGTTAAATAAAATAGTACTCATTTAAAACTTTTGTGTTATTTATCTATATCGTTACAGTCAATACTTATGAATGAAATCAAAATCAATACTCAGTTTATAGAGCTTTTAAAATTAAATTCATTTTTTATTTTACTTGTAAGATATATATATGGACCCATGAAAAAGAATATTGAACATTGACTTTTCTTTAAATAGCTTTTGCCTGGTGATAATCGTCCAAAGTTTGTTATTATCAGTATCCATAAAGACATGTAGAAATAACTGAGGTTTTAATTTTATTGATTTTACAAACTGATATATGAATGATATCAAGCATAATAGGCTCATGCTGATGAGCACTGTACAATGTATCTAGATATTCAACGTTTCTGAACATTTTTCACGTATCATATAAATCAAAACAAAAGCAAATTGAGAAAACAAAGTCAAACCATTCATTGGTTGAAAGAGTACAAATAACGAAAGCGAAACAATTTTTCTCATGCATCCTAAAGATATCTGAAAAATTTTTCTCAAGGCTGGCACGAAAATTATGAGATATGGTTTCGATCACGTAGATATAAAAAATGAATTCAAGTACCTCCATCTGCTTGAGTGGAAGCTAAAAACATAACTACTTCTAATCGTTAATTTTTATTTAATGCTCATCATAGTTTTTAATATAGTTTATATGGTTGTTTACTTAATTAAGAGACGATATCGAGAATCTAACCAAAAATTTCTACTACAAGAGCGGTATATGGGATCGGTTTATCGTAAAGAATATTAGCGTAAAAATTCTTGTAAATATTTTTTCAAATATATAAACGATATCTTAATAACTCTTACCCTTTCATATTCAACTAACTTATCATTTCGAGAATTTGTTTTATTACTATATTCTATTTAAGATATTGTGAATATGAATATAAAAGAAGATCTTTGTGACACATCTGTTCTACCTGACAATATATTTACATTAAAAGGTCAAGATTTTTTTCATGTTATTCGATCATTAGTCGGTGAAGTGGTTTGTAATATTCTTCAAATTCAAATGATTGATTCTGCAAATAATTTTTTGAACACAACTGATGTTTTTGAAATATTCAAGTATGATTCTGAAGAAATTGACGAAATAAGAATCAAAGCATGCTTCAAAATGAGAAGTGGAGAATATACTATTCGCACAGGAGTATTAAATAATATGACATATTTGACAACAATATTAAAAAAGAAATTTATGGAAAAGCATAGTTATACTACTAACTTACAAAAAGAAACATATTATGAACTGATTAATCATAATCCAATGCTACGATCAATAATCGATTGGTATTCACAGAATCCATATTCAAATAATAATAATAGTAATAATAATATTAATGATAGTAATAATAATAATAATAATAGTAATAATAATAATAATAATAATAATAATAATAATAATAATAATAATAATAATAATAATAATTTATTCATGTCGTCTTTCATAGATACCATAACAAAAAACGTAGTTAAATCAAAACAAAGTTATCGATATGATGATTGTATGAAAGATTTTGCTTTAGTATTGTATGTATTAGGTGCTAAACAATGTTATGAATTCATTCGAATTAATATTATTGGTGCACTTCCTAATCTAACAACCATAAATAAATTAATATCGAATACTGATCCTATTTTAACAGAGGGTCAATTTTGTTTCATTGCCCTGAAACAATACCTTGATACAGTAAATGTAAGATTTGGTTTTTGTGCTGAAGATTGCACCGGTGTTATTAAAAAAGTTAAATATGATGTTACCACAAATTCATTTGTTGGTTTTGTTACAAAGTTATCTAATGGAGTACCGATTTGTAATTATTATAGAACTGATTCCTATGAACAACTTCAATATTGGTTTGAAAACGTAGAAAAATCTTCGTTGTTAAATATTCATATGTTCCAGCCTATTCCACAATCCAATCATACAAATTCACCTGCATCATTTCTTATGAGTGCTTATGGTGTTGATAGTACATCAACAGCCATAGATATAATAAAACGATGGATTTATATTTATAATAATTGTATTCAGAATCAGATAAGAATTATCGGCTTCTCTACAGGTAATATCTTTGAGTCGAAATTTTCTTTTTAACAGGATGAGATTTTGTTTGTATTAAATGAGAATTTGAATCGAAATATGACGATTAGGGATCTGTGTCGGAATGATTCACCTGGATATTTTTCATTTCTATTAACTAGACGGTGATCCAAAATATGTGCGAGCAATGCGGCTAACATGTGGCTTTTTTGCACTTTTGTCAAACTCTCAACATTACAGTCGTTCCGATGCATTTCAGATCAAGTTAGAAGGGCAATGGCCATGGTTTTTTCTCAGACAACAACAGTTATTTCTCTTTTTACAAGATCCAACACATTTAATAACGAAATGGAGAAATCGTCTATTATCTGAAGTAGCTGAAATGCGGATAGGAAATCAAATAATTAGTATCGATTTTCTACACACCATAATCGAAAATAATCTATACACCAAACTAGACCATGGTTTAACAATATCCGATTTAAATCCAAAGGATAGACAAAACTATCGATCTTGCGTTAAACTTGTTTCAGAAGATCTTTTAAATATTTTAAGTGAAAATATAAATGCAAAAAGTACTCACGTCTATCTTCAATTGTTGAAAATGTTAATAACAGCATACATTGATAAATCGACGACAATAGCTAAACGTGAGTACACATGTTATTAATGTTAACAAGGCTAAGGACAATTAATTCGTGTAATTTGGGATTGGAAAGCGAATACTAAATCGATCAAAATAGCTTCAAGAAGAAAAAAGTCTACGTAAAAAGAAGCAATCTTTTCTATGTGTTTTAGTAACAAAAAACCTCGGATAGATGGGATCTTTTCAAATGAGGATTTGATAAAGAAGTCCTTCAGTTACCAAATGAAGTTTCTCTCCTTCAACAAGTATTTGTTACATGGAAGATGAGAGAAAATCTTGTAAAAATGTCAGTTTGCATCAGAAGCTCGACTTTAAGTTTTTGTTTAAATATTTTTTGAATTCGATATTAAAAGCAAAGCAGTGCTTTTTTACCTAAAAGACTTTTGCATTAATTCTTAATATTCAACATGATTGTATTCTCAAATAATTTTTTTATTCTGTTTGAATCGCGATTGAACTAAAAACTTCGAGCCGATATTATGATAGGAATTATTGTACGTGAGCTGTTTGGAGATTTCTTACGTTTCGACGTTATTGACATGTATTAATACTCTTTTATATAGGATTAGAGTTGGCGTGGTGTGTAGTGTTCTTTTGTCGGCTTTGGTGGGCTTGGTTACAGCACACACGTTTTGAAAATGTATCTAAAACGACAACAACAAAAAGAAAAACAAAATATACTCATTTCATTACCAAAACAGCTTACCTATCAGCTGAAATTAATGCACACATGCTGGTTTATTTAGTATTACTGGTCAAAAATAGTCAATTGCCAAAAGAAGCATTGTATATTTACTTGTTTAATTCACAGTCATGTGAATCTATGTTTCGAAGTACACGATCGTTAACAGGAGTGCATTCTACAAATGTTAACTTTACAGTGACTGATTTTCTTCGTCGTTCCCAAAAATTATCTGTTTTAAATAAAATCAAGCATCATCAGGAAAATGAAAAAAGTTTACTTTTTCCTGTACATCATAAACATAAAAATGATAATCATATAATAATGCACGAAACAATAGAAGACATTTATGATTTGGATATAGAAAAGATTGTTCTCACTTCATATAAAATGGCGGTTGCTCTTATCAAACCGTTAAATGTCATAGCATTACTTAAACAACATTGCCTAATCGAGTTAGATTCATTAAGTAAATATATTTTTAGTCAACTCAATGCAAAATCAAGAATGGTTGATGATTCAGTGATAACAACAACAAATAGTAAAAACAGCTTACATTCAGAATCAGATACAGATGATGATGAATACGATGAAGATGATTATTTAAATAATAATGATGAACTCATTAGTAACATTAGTGAGGATAATGAAGGTCTAAATGAATCATTTGATGATGACGAAGAAGTAGAAAATATGAACTCGATAATAAATGATTTCAATGGTTTAAAAATTCGAGACAATATAAATATGGAACAAAAAGATCGCTATTTTAGAATAAAAATTAACGATACGGTGAAGTACATGCATAAGCAAACAGCTTGCTGGATATTAACGAATGAAAGTGGAAGACTTTCAACAGATCGTTTGTGTCGTGTAATGCAGACAAGCAAAAAATAAAAATATTTATTGTATTCCTTTTGATTGGTTTTTTTTATTATATCAATTTATTAATAAACATGTTAACTATTAGTAATTTACTGCATGTCGTATTCCGTTAAAGTTTATACACATTTCTATGTTATGACAATTGTATCTCTCTTAACGTATGGAGAGTACTTCGAAGTACTTTGAAATACTTTGTTGTACTTTGGCGTACTTCAACGTACTTTGAAGTACTTTGAAATACTTTGAGGTACTTTGAAGTACTTTGAAGTACTTTGAAATACTTTGAGGTACTTTGAAGTACTTTGAAGTACTTTGAAATACTTTGAGGTACTTTGAAGTACTTTGAAGTACTTTGAGGTACTTTAAAGTACTTCGTCGTACTTTAAAGTATTTTAGAGTACTTTAAAATACTTTTGTACTTTGTTGTACTTTAGAGTACAAAAGTACGATGTTTCCCCCTTGGGCTAGATGAAAGAGAAACATTTGGGCAATAAATTTGCAATTTTTATATGAACTCATTAAGGCTTTCTTCTTCAAAAAATGTCACTTTTCGTCAGAATGATCGGAATTAAGATAAATGCATAGGAAGATAGCCCGTGATCTGGGTTTTCATAAACGACAACAATTTTTACTCGACACTTCTTTTTTTTCAAAACGTTTTTAAGTTTTTTGTCATTCCCTATTCGAAAAATTAGTTGTTTTTACAGAAAACCGAAAATGTTTTCTGTTTTTTCTAGGTTTATAGTTTTCTGATCGTGCATCTACAATCTCTCTGTCTAAGTTCATACTATATATTTATTTACTTTGTTTTGTTTGAAAGAACATGTCAATATGCAAGGCTTGACGAGGCCCGTTTTTTCTGAATTAGGCCTTTTTCTTATTATATATATTGACATTTATATAAATTCTCGTAGATTTTTAGAGGGTTTTTTCAGACATTGAACTTTCGATCCGTTTTTTGCGCTTAAAAAATGAGTATTTAAAAAAACAAGAGCCTCGTGATGCCTTGTATCTTGACATGCTCTTTCAAACAAAAATAATTAAAAGTGTAGAATGAACCTGGGCAGAGAAATTTAGGTTGTCAAATGATCTGTTTGCCACCATTCTTTGGCCAATATCAGTCTTAAAAAACCATGATTTAGGGCTGACAATTTTATCATAGCTCTATTGATGATGATTTGACATAAGGCTAAGAGAGAATAATGCCCATTTTCTGCGCCGATGTATAATTGAGACTAAAATGTTGTACGGAGAGAGAGAGAAAAAGAAAGTAATCGATTTGCAGCTTAGAACTTCCATACGTATTCAAAATCTAATGTATCTCACAGCAGTCCAGCAATCATCGGTTCGAAAATTCTAAATATTATATCGTGTGTCTGTTACAGTATGTGAGTAGATATGAAGAGAAGCGAAATTAGGTAACTTTTTCTCGTTTTAGACTTCAATACTTGTTTACAATCGTATTTTACAAAATAATTTATTGCTCAAATGCCGCAAAGTTTAGAAAGACAAGTAAAATAATGTTTTTGACTTAAAGTCGTTCAAGAGCATACGTGATACCTTGTCAAAAGACATACAAGTAAAAATGTTTCTATGATTTTTGCATTTAAGTACCGTCAGAACAGAGTTCATTGTCCCCTATTTGAACCTATTACAAAGGATTTGAATGCAACGATACGAGAAGTTTGCTTTCACCTAACGACGGCTACACAGTAATGTTTATTCTAGAGCTGAACTTCAGTAATACAGACCATCTAATCAAACCAACATATGTTCTCATCATGTTTCCTCTGGGTAGTCATCTTTTGATAGAGCATGTCGAAAAGAAGCAATCTCTCAGTATGAAGAATATTATTGCGGTGTTTTTTTTTTCAGCCGCTAATACAATTTTGTTTTCCCTCTGAAAGAAGACTCGCGAGATACCTCTCGTCCGTCGAGTATGATTTCGTCCGAGCACATCGACTGAGTATTGCTCGTTTGATGGAAGTTACTTTGCACTCTTCAGAATAACTCGAGTAAACAATAATCTTTTGACACATTTTGTTACTATGTTAATCCCTATTATCAATTAATTAATCAAATCAAAAGATTAAAATGTATTTTTTCAGATTTCTATTTCCTAAAAACACTGTAACGATATATGTAATTATGCTTACATTTCTAATTTTATCGCTTTGTTGCATTGTGATCGACTGCTTGCATTTCAACGGAGGTACAATCCGTTGGCAGCCAGTAGATCCGTTCATCAACTCGAGCTCAGTGCCAATTACGATCACCCAGTCCTATTGGTGGACTTATCCGACTATCAGCTGTGCAACCAATGTACCTATTTCTACGAGCGGCAGAGCCAATGCAAACACTAACTTGACATGTATTGCTGACTGTTCGACGGACGGTGGCTATTCCACTAAGCCAGTGAACATTTTAACCGACTGTATTTCAGCCAGTTCATCGCTAGGCATGATGACAAGTGAAAGATCAATCAACATCACACTCACAGCTGATGCACATTTTTACTTATCGCATCAAGGAAGTTCTTGGGTGTCATTAAATAATCCTCCACAAAGTGGCTCTTACTGGTCGATTGTATCTTTCATTGACCTTCGAATTCGACCAGATGGTTTTATCAACACTCCACCAGAAGTGAATATCGTTTCTCCCCAATACGTGATTGTGAATAGAACAAGTCAAATTCAAATACCCGTATCAGATGCCAACGCGGGTGATGATATACGTTGTCGTTGGTCAGTAAATATCCCAGGATCCCGCAGACGAAGACAATTGAACTCCAATAGAGATTTTCAACATCAATCAATTGACTATATGTATGAAAGAGTAGATATGGACAGCGATTTTGTTCACATTCGAAAAAAAAGGTTAACTCTTTCTGGATGTCTCAGCGGATGTGGTTACAGCTGTCCTTGTGTCTATGCTATTTGCGCAGGAACTACTTGTAGCGGCGTAGCCTGTGCGAAAAAAGCTGGTTGTCTACCCTTGACAACCGGTTCGACTACAATTGAAACGGCGGGAACGTTACCAACCACATCATCGTATCCAGTTCGCCAAGCAATTGACGAATGCGGTGGTATTTGCTATCCAAGCAGTATACCTAATGGTACAACTTTGTCGAATTGTACCTTGTCATTCACAGGACATGTACCTAATACTTGGTATGGTATTGCTATTCAAGTGAGCTCAGGCGATATTCTGTTCAGCTTAATATACTTTCTGCACAAGTATTCAACTTGTCTTTTAAGCTGATTTTGGTCTTATCATACGTTAGTTTAGTTCAGCGTTTCGTTTGAGATGAAAGCATCGAGATATTCAACCGAATTTCACAGTAGCTCATGATTGTTTTCACAATCTTAAAGCAGATAAGCATGATTCTTTTATTACAGATAACTTTTTACGAGTGTCCCTGCCATTTTCTTGTCAAACCGGATCTATTAATAGCAGCTATCTCAAAAATTGTCTCTAATTAAACGACGTCTTTCTTCTGCTAAAATTGCACACGCAACTTTCTTTGAATGAAGCGTATTGCATGGGCTTTGACTCGGTCTAGTCATCAATTAGTGAAAAAATATGTTAGAATCGCAGATTCGGCACGGCAACACACCATTTTGCTATGGAGTCTTGAAAAAATGTCAGGTCCGTCAATCGATAAAACATAAGAATGTTTCAATCATGTAAATATAGGTCGATTATAAATGCTCAAAACACAAATTCTTCGTTATCTAGAAGACGTTACTTTCGATCTATTAGAAGTATTATGCGCCTGAATAAACAATATATATGGTAAGAAATCTACACAAGATAACGCATTATGTAGGACGCAAAACTCTCAGCTCAGAAAGCAACAGTTCTATGGTATGATACAATTGTATTTATGATACGGGGGAAAGCTGTAGTATCTTTCCGAATAAACATAACAACTTTAAGATAAAGAGTAGACTATGTTGAAGGCCGCCCCTCCCCTCCAAAGTCTATTTTTGTTACGGTGTATGAGACTTCCATGAAACTTTCCATAAATGTTGGACACATCCAAGTAAAGTTATGAAATTTTTTTTCACTTCTTCAAACCTTAGCGTTCAGAAGTTTTCTAGAGATCCAGGCCTAAAATGGACCTTTCGGCAGTACAAATTCTTTTTCACTATATGTCAACGTATTGAATCGAGGATTGATTTATTTGAAAGCGAACTGTTTGCCGGTTGGGCTGAGGGGAAGGAATTTTTTAAATTCTCCTTTATTCAATTTTGGGACGACCAAAACTCACAACATCTCAAAATTCTTCCAGAAAGTTTCTAAAAAACCCTGGATTTCTCTAAGGTTTTCAATTAACTAGAAAATCTCTTTCCCTCATCTCAAGCATTACACACATATGTATTGATTAAAGAAAACCGTAGCTCTCTCGGATGAAGTATATTGAAAAAAAAATTTGTTCTACTGTCGATAATTGGCATAAAAATGACTTTTGAGAAAACCGACAAACAAAGTGAAAATTATTTTTAAGCCTCTTTTCGAGAAAAATAAATCCTGGATGTTTTCCTTAAAACTAATATTGCTATCATGTCCGATGTAAAGAGAAACCTACGCATTCAAAATTTGAGAATATTTGTTCATCAGATAAACAAGAAAATAGATTTTTAACCAAATAGTATGGAATGTTGCTTTTGGGCGAAAAAATGCTATAACGTATGCTAGGAACCACATTTATTTGTGAAAATTTGGTCATAAAGGCAACTTTACATGTCGAACACGATGGTGTTATCAGTTTTCGAGATATCTTCTAAAAAGCGGGAAGGATTTCCGGGAAACTGCTGAAAACCTTTAAAAACGACTGGTCGATTACAAAGAAAATTATATAGAATACTCAAAAACCGCTTATCTCTAGAAACCCAATACATATTCTGAAAGAGAAGACTCAGATGCATCTTCCTTCAATAAAAACTCAATTTGAACATTTTTTGCAAAAACATGGTTTTCAGAGGGGGAGGGCGGCCTGAAGGACGTTC